TTTTTTTTTTTAACATGCCCTCCTTCCCTGTCTCTGCTACATCTAATTGCCTGGCAAGTTGTTGTGAGCTGTTCTTTGGAATATCTTCCAGTTCCCTCCTTCTGGGCTGCCTAGCCTTTTGTAGCAGTCTCTACATTGTTTTTCTTTTATTTATTTATTTATTTATTTATACAAGCACTGGGTACAGTCAGAAGTGCGGGAGGGTGAGAGAATTCACCAGAGTCGGAGCAGGGAGCAGAACAGGCAGACTAACAAAACACACTGCTGAGGGGAGCAGCGGGCAGCAGGAGAGGTCTGTCGCGCCATGTGGGACCCTCGCCCCGGGGCCGGGGATCGAACTGGCACTGCAGAGCCTGTGGGCAGCATCGCAACCCAGTGCTCAACCACTGCGCCATCAGGGGAGGCCCTCTACATTGTTTTTCTTGTTTCCTGATTTTCCTTGTTCAAAATCTCTCTCCACAAATCTTTTTTTTTTTTTTAAGATTTATTTATTTATGCATGTAAGAACTGGGGTACAGGCCAGAGATGCAGGGGGTGAAAGGATTCACCAGAGACAGAGTGGGGAGCAGAACAGGCAGACTGACTGAAATACACTGCTGAGGCAAGACAGGAGAGGTCTGCTGCGCCATGTGTGTCAGCTCCCTGGCAGGGAAACAAACTCGTGTTGCAGAGGCTGTGGATAGCTTCACAGTACTGCGCCTTAACCCCTTGTGCCGCCAGGGAGGCCCCACTCCACAAATCTCTTGTTCTTTGCACAATGTTGATTCATCCTCATCCCAATCCTTGCCAGATCAGTCCGCCCCATGCTCCAGTCCCATTGTCTTTACTTTATCCTTCAAGGCCTGTTCAGACCTCTCCTCTAGGAAGTCTTTTCTCCTTTTTTTTTTTCAGGCAGAGTTAGTTGCTCCATCTTTTGTACTTTCTCGGTAGGTTTCACATAAGATACTTCATTTGGTGCTTGTGCTGAATCCCTTGCTGGGTCTGAGTTCTGGAATCAGACTGTTTCCGTCCTATCAATTCTCATTCATCTTCAAACACAAATGAATATATGTGTAAGGGCAGGACTGGCCACAGTGCAGGTTCTCTGATCCCATGCAGACTGGGTAAAGGAGGAGTCAGAGTCCTTAGTGGGTTTTTTGCAGGTCTTTTTTTGGGGTTCACCAGGCATATGGCAGGCAGGGGTGCTGGGTGGGGGGCTGGGAGGCTGGCAGGCCTCCCTGTCCCCAGCAAGTCTTCACTCTGAGCTCTCTAGCGTTCGTTCTGCTGCTTCTTGGCTTCTCTTTCGGCTTCTGCTTCGGCTTCTACTGCTGCTGCTTCTGCTGGCGTCCCCGTGACGCCGCCCTTAAAAGCACAGTCTTAGCCCAGCTGAATCCCATCTACCTATGCCCACACCCTACTCCAGGTGCCCGCCATCAGGCATGCATTCAGGACAAGATCCATCATCTATCTTGATGGCAGAAGGGCAGAAAAGCCTGATATTTTCTTTACCCTACAGTCCACCCCCTCAGGGTTTTCTGCCATATAATCTACATATATACAACTTAGCAAACAAACAATGCAGCCATGGCCCACAAAAGCAAATACATCAAATATAACAAAATACAATATAACAAAATACAACAGAACACAAATAAGTCCAGGCAGGGCACCAACCTAGTGCAAACGACAATTATTGGTACCAGCAGATGAGCCACCAAATCTGCTGCCGAAGGCGCTGCTCCTACGAGGGAGGGAATCACTCACGGCATCTATTGTATCACACCAGGAGCCGTCGGGCTTCCTGGCCTTCTCTGGCTGTCGTCTCGGCTACAAGCCACACACAGCATCCACCCCCAGGATGCACTCGCTCTGGGATTGGCGATTCTGTTCTGTTGGGGGTAATCGCCAACCCTCAGGGTTTCTGTCTGCAGTCGCTCCAACACTCGGCCTTCATGGCCACCCATGCGACTCGCAGACCCCTGCACTCAGGCCAACCCACTGCACAAGCGCGTGGGTCGGGGATCCAAACTCTGCATTCGGCTTGGGCTCCACCCCAAGCCACGTTCCCCACCCGTCCCCCAAGGACGGGTTCCTCAGCTCCTCACGCTCACTCAGGAATGAGCAGGGCATCACCCACAGGTGATTTGACGAGACTCCCGGGGCTTCAGCATACCCAGGCTGCTTAACAGCCGCTCAGGGCTTCTCAACTTACCATCAGCACCGGCTTTTGCCTTCTCAGTTGGCTTTTCTCCTCCACCTGGCTGCTGGGCATGCACAGGCTGCTTTTGGCCATCAAGGCCCACTGGCCACCCCCAGATTCTCAAAAAAAAAAAAAAAAAAAAAACCTGCCAAGGTCCTCCGCCTTCTGGCGGGATTGTCAGTCCAAGTTCATCAATCCATGTCCATCAGTTGAAGTCCATTGGCCTCTCCCTGCATCAGCACCGGCGAGCGCTGAATCGTGGTCCTCTCCTCCCCGACTTTCTGCTGCTTCAGGGGTCATTGGCCGGTCCTTTCGGGTGTCGTTGGCTGGTTCTCTCGGGAGTCTCCTTCACGCCAGTTCTCGTCCTGTAGCTCGTGGACGTTGTCCACCTTTTGTGCCGCCATGGCGCCTCCAGCGTCATCACAGGCAAACAGTCTGTTCTCCTTAGTCCCTCCAGGTCTTCGGAGGGCTCCAACACCCGTCTGCACGGATCCTGCCGACTTACGCCAATTGTAGAGGGCAGGACTGGACCACTGAGCAGGTTCTCTGATCCCATGCAGACTGGGTAAAGGCGGAGTCAGAGTCCTTAGTGACTTTTTTGCAGGTCTTTTATTGGGGTTCACCAGGCATATGGCAGGCAGGGGTGCTGGCTTGGGGGCTGGGAGGCTGGCAGGCCTCCCAGCCCCCAGCAAGTCTTCACTCTATCTGGGCTCTCTGGAGTTCGTTCTGCTGCTTCTCGGTTTCTCTTTCAGCTTCGGCTTCGGCTTCTACTGCTGCTGCTGGCGTCCCCGTGACGCTGCCCTTAAAAGCCCAGTCTTAGCCCAGCTGAATCCCATCTACCTATGCCCACACCCTATTCCAGGTGCCCGCCATCAGGCATGCATTCAGGACAAGGATCCATCATCTATCCTGATGGCGGGAGGGCAGAAAAGCCTGATATTTTCTTTACCCTACAATATGGCATTCATGAAGCCCAATTTGAAATGCTATATATTCTTCTTTTTTTAAGATTTATTTATTTATGCATATAAGAACTGGGGTACAGACCAGAGGTGTGGGGGTGAGAAGATTCACCAGAGACAGAGTGGGGAGCAGAACAGGCAGATCTACTGAGATATGTTGCTGAGGAGAGCAGCGGGAAAGACAGGAGAGGTCTGCTGCACCATGTGTGTAGTTCCCTGGCCAGGGATCTTACTCGTGCTGCAGTGCCTGGGAATAGCTTCAAAGGTTGCGTCTTAACACCTTGTGCCAAGAGGGAGGCCCCTGAAATGCTATATATTCTTTACTATCAACATAGAACTAATTTTAGAATTTAAGGTTTGTTGTTATCACTGAGCTTCTGGGAGCTTCAGTGATTGGAAATTGTCTTTTATGGGAGAAAGAACATTTAACTAACTATTGCCAGGAACTCTTACTTGCCTGAAAATGGCAACTCCTTTGCATGAGGGCTACAGATGTACATATTAAAAAAATAAACCCTGGACTGGAAGAAGGGTCTCTAAATGCAAGTTGGTTCAATACTCTTGTTTTACAGACAAGGAAACTGAGACCTGAGGAGGTAAATAGTCATGGCCAAAGAAAATGGAGAAGGGAAATAGACTCGAGATCTCATTCCAATTCAGAGTACCTTTCATTTAATCAGAGCTTTAAAAAACAAAAGCTGTGATTAAGACTTTTTTGCTAACTCAAATTAGTCTTTCCCCAGTTAAGCTGAATTAAGGCGCTATATTTGCAGTTGATTTTTTTTAAACTTCTGCAATTTTTATTAGAAAGCACTGACCCAAAAATGTTAATAAGAACATTGTTCTTGTTATCTTTTCTCACCATCTATCACTGGAGCATGCTGGTGAAATGCAGGGAAGTAAAATGTCCCCTGAATTTGAAAATATCACTCACTAAGAATCCACATAGAACCGGTGAGGTCAAATGTAGGAGTCACTTAAGAAAGAAGAAACCATTAAGACCATTTAAAGTAAATTGATTTTATCAGGTGCATGTGACTAGAATGTGATTTTTCTTTTTTTCTTTTTTTAAGATTTATGTATTTATATAAGAGCTGGGGTACAGGCCAGAGGTGTGTGGGGGTGAGAGGATTCACCAGAGACAGAGTGGGGAGCAGAACAGGCAGACGGACTGAAATACACTACTGAGGGGAGCAGCGGGCAAGACAGGAGAGATCTGCCGCGCCATGTGGGTAACTCCTTGGCTGGCCAGGAATCGAACCCATGCTGCAGAGGCTGCGGACAGCTTCATAGTGCTGCGTTCAACCTGCTGCGCCACTGGAGGAGCCCCTAGAATGTGATTGTTCTTAAGCTCATCATTGTCTCATACCATAATGAGTTGCCTGCTCAGAGTCTTCAAAAATGTAAATTAGGGGTTAAAATGTAATTAGGGGTTAATCAGTATCATCAAAGAATGGAGACACTGAGTGTGGGATTCATGAGCATCAAGGCCACTGGGGAGTGGTACTCATGGGGAAACAAGGATAGTGCATTCAGCAGGCCTTCCCATGCTTAAGTAAAGTATCTCTAAAGGCAATCCAACCACCCCCTTTTTGTTATGATTCTGTGCTCCCAAAACAACCTCTGGTTTCAAATAGTCTTTTCTGATTTTGGAAAGAGGATGATCCATATTATAAACTTGAAATTTTCAGTTGTCACAAAGAAATAGTTTCTTTTACAGATGGCCAAGTTGACATTATGGTTTATTTATTTATTTTTATTTATTTATTTTTTTGACATTATGGTTTATACATCAATCTCTTATGAGTTTGGTTAATGTGAACAATACTTCTCAACCTAAGTGCCCTGGGTATACTTACTCAGATCTGCAACGTTGAAGACGAGACTTGGGAATGTCTTAATTGCTAGAGGCTACTTGTCTTTCATTGGGTAGTCAGTGGAAGTTTTGTGTCTCCTTTCTGTAATGGCAATGCTAGATTAGTACTATAAGTTGAAAGGAATCATTAAAAAAATGCTAATAAAGAGATTTTATTCATAGGATTCCCAATACCGATTTGCATTTAAGTTAGAGCTTTATACATTCTGCCATCCTCTCTTCTACCCTGCCTGCCACCCAAATTTGGAGTTGCTGCCCAGTGTACCAGAAATAAGTTACAAGAGTAGAGACATTGGTCTAGTTGGACATTGTGAATGGCAGGAATTAGAGCTGGCTCTTTGAATTAGCACCTGTAGTCGAAGATGCTCCCCAGAATCCTTATACAAATACTGTTGGCCTGTGTTGTGATAGAACACTGGAAACCAAGCTTAACTCATGAGAGACTGGGGAGCTCCAACATATTACTGCTGCCCCACTGACCACAGCAAACTGGGCAGAGGGCACCATTTTTCTCTTGAATTCCTATCACCCCCCTACTCCTCCCCCGGCCCTAAACCCTAAGTTGGGTTTCTGTGGTGCTACCTCCTACTGTCTGTTTTAGCTTTGATTTTCTTTTTTTTTAATTAATATTTTATTTTATATAATTCTTACATCATTTTTTATTTTTGCACAATGTATGCATTATCATTTTGGTTATATTCCCCATACAATTCACCCCCCCCCTTATTTTGACCCTAGTTCTTCCTCTCCCCTTCCCTTCCCCCACCCCCTTGTGTGTCTCTGGTTTATAGTTGCTTGTTAATTTTGATTTTTACTTTGTATTGATTAGTCTTTTTCCTGGTCCCTTGTTTAAGTTTTCTAAATTCCTGCTATGAGTGAGACCATCTGGTATTTTTCTTTCTGGCTTATTTTGCTGAGCATGATCCCTTCCAGCTCCATACATGTTGCTGCAAACTGAATGTGTTTATCTTTTTTGATTGCTGAGTAATATTCCATGGTGTATATGTACCACATCTTCTTGATCCAGTCATCTATTTTTGGGTATTAGGGTTGTTTCCAAAGCTTAGCTATTGTAAACAGTGCTGCTATAAACATAGGGGTGCAGGTGCCCTTTGGAATTGATGTTTTTGTGTCCTTTGGGTAAATACCTAGGAGTGGAATTGCTGGATCATATGGAAGCTCTATCTTTAGTAGGTTGAGGAATCTCCACACAGCTCTTCATAGTGGTTGGACCATTTTGCACTCCCACCAGCAATGCAGGAGATGGTGCTCCACACGATCAGAGAAACTTCTCTAGTAACGAACTATAGAAATGATCTCTGAAAGTATAGTTTTTAGCTTCGATTTTCAATATCAGTAATTAAAGTAATGGAAGCCAAATTACACGTTTGTTCCTTAACATATGCACCACCAATAAAATTATTTCAACTGATACCTCTTCCATGTTTTGTTTTATTATATTACTTTTTATTGAGGTAATGGTTTATGACACTATGTATGATTTTGAGGTGTACATTGACACCTTTTCAGATGTTTGCTACCATATCACTCCTACCACCAAAGTTACTGGCCATCCTTGCACCCACCTCCTGCCTCCTCCACTCTTCAACCCTCACCCCCTCTAGTAGCTTCAATTCTGCATTCAGATTTCTAGGATTTGTTTTGGGTTAGATTCATCTCTCTTTTTGTTTTGTGTCTTTATGTATTCCCCATATGAATGAAATCATCAGGTATTTTTCTTTCCTCTTCTGCCTTATTTTGCTTAGTCTAATCCCTCCAGTTTCACGCATATTATTGCAAATGGCAAGATTTTTTTTTGTAGTTGAGCAGTATTCCATTGTGTAAATAGGTACCACATATTTTTTATCTATTCACCTGTCACTGGGCACCTAGGTGTGTTCATAACTTGGCTATGGTACCCAGTGCTGCAATGAACATGGGAGTGATTATATCCCTTCACATTAATGATTTGCATTCTTCAGGTAGATATTTAGGAGTTTAATTGCTGGAGGATATGGTAGATCTATTTTTAATACTTTGAGAAAACTTCATACTATTTTTCACAGGGGCTGAACTAGTCTACATTCCCACCAACAGTATATTCCCACTAATAGTTCCTTTAACTTCTGTTTTTTAATCACGTTTTTCAGAAATAAGATTGATTTAGTCAATTAATTAATGGAAATAAATGAAAACCCCCAGGGTATTGAAATGTTTTACGCACATTCTACAAAGTCCTTATTAGGCAGAATAAGTGCCTGTGGTTGAAGCACCTAGGTTTGTTCAAGCTGCAAAACAGGCCAGGAAAAAAGCCATCTTTAGGGCAAAAACTAGACTATCACCAACCACATAGAAAATTCTCCCTTGGAAAGGGCTCACTTTTTAATGTTTTTAAACTCTCTATAATTAGAACCTTAAGAAGAGAATTTCCAGACGCCTCTAGTGAAATTACAGGGACAAATTAGAACCATATAACATAACATTGAATAATCAGAAAACATGAAAAAGATACCTAGATTTTCTTTAGAGAATTTCCTTTTATCATTTTTTAATTTGGATTATGTATCACCATAGGTTGCGGTCTAATATTGGGGTGAGGCTGGAGGCACGGGGGTGAAAGAATCCAGAGACAGAGTGGAGAACAGGAAAGTCAGATTAATTGAAATACTCTGCAAGGGAGCAGGAGGCAAGATGGGAGATATTGATTGTGTGACAAGAAGGGTATGAGGCTATCTTTTATAACCCGTTTTGGCGGGCTTTTTCATGACTGCAGGAATAGGTCTCTACCGGTTGCTGTCTGCTGGGACAGCAGGTTTTGGTGGGCCTTCTGCACAGGAGGTGTCCTGCTTGCTTTTGTTTGCCCTGTTTCTGCATTTCCCCACAATTCTCCATGGCCCCTTATTGGCCTTGTGGACCCACGGTCAGGTTCCCATGGCAACTATATCGGTTTCCCTTTCTTATCTATTTTGCGTCTCCCAGCATTGTTCAGCTGAGCAAAGTGCAGAGACTAAGTTTTAACTCTATTAAATAATACCCCGACATCATATCTTTCTATGCTGAATGCTAGAAGAATATTATTTTATATGCAATTTACCAAGTGGATAGTATGCTAAATTTTATGGCTAGCCTAGAATTATAGCAGTGAATTTCTCTTTTGAATGCTATCAGGGTCAAGTGCTTCCTTCTACCTTCACTCTGGCAGCCTAGAGTAGAAAGAATATCTGCTCTCACAGATGATTCTATCTCCAAATAATGAAGAAGGTTACTCAATATTTTATGTAACTACTGAGAACAATCTGAAATGGAACACCCCTAAAAAGAGACCACGGTCCTAGTAATTTGACTATGATTGTAGGCTCATTGATACAGTATGAGAGAAAATTTAGGATAAAAAGGAGGAAAAGCATTGAAGTAATAAGAGAGAGGATGCAGTTGGTACAGTGGCAAGAACACTTGCAGCTAGAATCCAGTCACGTCACTTTCAAGTCCAAGATCTCCTCTTACCGTATGGTGACTTCAGACAATTCGTTAAGACTCTCCAAGCATCTTTTACCTCATGAGCAGCACACTATTGAGATAATAGTTCCTTCCTATCTCCAAAATTTATTGGGATACTCCAACATAGCATATGAGAGTTATGAAGATACTTTGCAAGCCATGACTGAAGGGCATTATTTGAATTTCAAAAAAAAAAAAAAGCCACACCAAATCTAGTTTATTGAGCATCTACTAAGTGTCAGGTATTGTACCAGGTGTTTTGCGTGTTTCTGTCTTTCCTTGGCACCCCTGGAGGTTAAGTCTTTTTGTACACTTGGAAGAATGGATCTCTACTCATATTTCCCCAGCCTCTCTTTGCCTGGGTGTTCTGATAATACCCATCTTCAAATCTTGGCCTGGGGCTGCTGGGGTTTCTGTGATGAAAGGCCAGGTACCTTGCCTTTGGCTTTATCTCTTCTTCTCTGTAGCAACTTGGCACAGCATGGGGTGAAAAAGTTGAGCTAATCATTAACATTTTTTCTTCCACTCTTCTCGAATGTGCCAGACAATGAAAATAGACTGTGGCCTTTTTATGAAAACAAAGTGAAACCGGGAATGATGACAGTGTTCCAAGGCAGTGACCTGAAGTATTGCAAGTACTTTGGGTGGCCTCAGATTCTCTTGGGAACCCTCAAAATCTGCCTTATCCCACCTGATTCTGTTTTGCAGGTATTTCTCTTCCCCAAGCCTTGCCCTTTCTTTTTGTTGAGCCTGCATCTTCCCTGTCAGCGCAGCGCTTGCTTTGAGCCTGTGCTTTGAAATATCCAGGTTCTAGCAACCAACCTGAATAGGATATTGAATTTGTTCTTGGTATTCTGAGGTTTATATGGATGGAATCAAAGGGAGGTGCATCTGGAACCCACTTAGCTTCCTTCCAGCTGTTATGTTTGATAGGAGAGAAAAAAAATCACCAAAGGTAAACATCACACCTCTAGGCAGGCCCCGTGACCCTTTCTTTTTTTTTTTTTTTTTTTTTTTTTTAAATTTTTTTTCTTTCTTTTTTTATTAGATTTATTTATTTATTTATTTATACAAGCACTGGGTACAGTCAGAAGTGCAGGAGGGTGAGAGAATTCACCAGAGCCAGAGCGGGGAACAGAACAGGCAGAGTGACGAAGTACACTGCTGAGGGTAGCAGTGGGCGGCAGGAGAGGTCTGCATGCCATGTGGGACCCTCCCCCGGCGGCCAGGGAGCAGCCAGGGATCGAACCGGCGCTGCAGAGGCTGCGGGCAACTTCGCAACCCAGCGCTCAACCGCTGCGCCACTGGTGAGGCCCACCGTGACCCTTTCTTACAGGATTATTCAGGACTTGAATTGATTTTGTCTGCCTCAGCTTTTCACAGGAATTTTTTCCTCTTCCTGAGTCTCAGAGTGAAATGAGCCACCGTTGGAGATTTATGGTGTTATTTATATCCAAATACTGATCATTGATATCCACAGTTGTGGATTGCAGCTTGATTCTTCTTATTTTAAAAGTTTAGATACATTTAAAAAGCTGTTATCAAATTCCATAAAGACTTCAGGGGTCTTTGTTGCCAAAGAGCCATTGGTGGGTCCAAACTAATATTTGACTGATCCTAATAAGTCAATGAATTTCATCAAAACTGAGCTGCCATATCCTCTTGCCCCAGTATGTCATCAGCTCTAAAAAACAAAAAACAATATCGATCTTTCTGGAGCCTCCATGCTGGCGCAAGGGGTTAAGATGCAGCACTATGAAGCTATCTGCAGCCTCTGCAACAGGAGTTCAATCCCCGACCAGGGAGCTACCCACATGGCACAGCAGACCTCTCCTGTCTCGCCCGCTGCTCCCCTCAACAGTGTATTTCAGTAGATCTTCCTGTTCTGTTCCCCACTCCGTCTCTGATGAATCCTCTCACCCTCCACACATCTGACCTGTATCCCTGTTCTTGTATGCATAAATAAATACATTTTTTTAAAAAACGATCTTTCTGCTTACATCAAGATGGGTGACCCCAATATCGATCACAGGGTGTGTTGCAGAAAAGGTAGCACCATGGGTTCCCCTTTGAAGAGGGGTAGACACTGGCCATTTGGAATCTGGACTCTTAATTCAGCAATTTCAGAAAGAACAAGCACTGCCTAATTGTTCTGCTGCTACTCTTGTAAATGACCTTTGCCCCAGACTTGCCAACATATGCTCTTGTGTGGCCTGGAAACTCAAGCAAATGTTCGTCTGTTCCTTTGTGCATGCATGCTGTGGAGGGCCTGCTATGTGAGAGGAGATAGGGACACAGAGTGGCCTTGGTTGGGGCTGGTTGCCCCTCCTGTCAGCCGCAGGCACTTTTGTGATCCTGACCATTGGCTGAATTTCTTTCCCCAGCGTGCATTGATTACTACCGCTCTGTGCCTCTTCTCCCCAAGCACACGTCCCTGTCCCAGTGCGAGTTCTCGAAGGAATTTGTGCCTCTGCCCTAAAATTGCCCTTGTTACCTAGGAACCCCAGTCCAGTCAACATATTAGGGGGCCAGGATGTCCTAAGCAAACTCCATACAGGCTTTGTGGACTCCATCCCAACACCACCACGACACTGGGAACTACAAATCCCATGATCACTGAAGGGAGGGTTGCAAGGACCTAGGGCAGAGTTATGCAGCCATTGTTTTCTGTTTGTGGATATAAGAGCCTTGTGAGTAGGGGTCGCCCTCTTGACCTGATGGTGTGGGGTTTTTCACCAGCTCGGTGGGTCCTGGGGATTCCAGGTCTTCAGAACGGGTAGGATGCATTTAGGAACTGATCTCCCTCCTTTTCTCCGAGTTATTCATTTCTCCATTCCCTTTCCCTTTCATCAGCCTTTTGTGTGTGTCTGCAGTTCAGCATTCGTAAGCCCCCTTTAAGCACATAGGTGAGGACCACAGTCAGGCCACCCGATTTATATTGGGGTTGCTCTATAACAAACACAGAAGTCCTTGGGGAGCAACCCCAACTGACCCGATTTGCTACGTGAGCTTGGTCACAGTCCTGGCTGTTGACCCAGGAAAGAAAGATTTGGACCTCGACTAAAGTTCTTGTGGACCTGGTTCCATTGACAGGCTAGTAGGTCATTCAACTGGATTTGTTTCTTTCTCGTAGCCAGTGGGAGGTCACACGTGTTTCTAGCTCGCCCAGCTGCCAACAACAAATGTGAGGTCCCTGTGTGTGTGTGGGGGGGGAAATGCTCCCCAAAGACCACAAGCTGAGTTCTCACCGTTCTAGGGGATCTTCATTACTGCTCTTAGGTATCAGGATTGCATAAATTTGATATTGTGGTGATTTAGCGAGGCCTGAAATTTACATTTGCAATGTGGGTTTGCTAAACCTACGAAAGGAGTCCTTATCTTCTTTCTATTCCTAGGCAAAACCAAGACATCAACACCTACAAGCTTGGGAGCCACAGACTACAGACCAAAGTTTCCATTCATGCAAAGAAGAAACAGCTTCTGAGAATCTTGGAACTCTCTTCAAACACCTACTCAGGTACAGGCCATTAGAAATAATTTTTTATTTGTTCCTGAGCAATTGTACGTGACTTCATGCATTCAATCGTGCGTTCTAAGGAATTTGAGTAGAAAGGTCCATTTTCTATTTGTCAAAGGGCTGGATTTGAGGACTAATTGCAGTCAAGTCCAGCTCTTTGTTAATTCAGAGGCAGGCTTCTGCCCCATTATACTGAAAGTAAGGAGATTGGACTGCAGTCACAGAGAATCAGTTACAAAGTGCTCTGAGGTCACTTACATCCAGGCAGAGCTGTTGCTAAACAGGCCTTAGCCTCTGGTGGCTTCTGTTTTTGTCTTCTCTCTGGATGATCATCACTGTGAAATGGTGCCTCCCGACTGATCTGTTTTACTATAGCAAAATTCTTTCCCCCTCATTTTAATCATCCCCTAGACAGTCCTGGAGTGATTATTTCCTGCTCCCAGGTGGGGAGACTGAGGCACAGTGAGGACCTCTGATTGACTTCCTGTCTCAGAATCTTCTCGCTGTGAGCTAAGAATAGAACTCTTGCTTTTCACATTCCAAGCTCTTTGTGAAAAGTGATCACCAGATTGCAGCAGTCTCAATTGCCTGCTCAGGTACGCTGCAGAGAGTGGTTCTTCTCTCTTGTTTGAACACTTGGGAGGGGGGTATATTCTCTAGCTTCCAGAGGATGCCCTGGTTCCTAAAGTACTCAAAGTACCATTACCTCCTGGAGGTAGAAACCACCATGCAGGAGAAGGGAAAGAGTTAAATACGAGGAGGGAAGCAGAATCCTTCCTTCCTAGGCACCAACTGTCCATTCAGAGCCCGGCAAGACTGCCCCCAGCCATGACTTCCTGTGGAACTAAGTGATGGTCCAGAAATAATAAGTCTAATTTAGTAAAGTGCTTGTCAGAGAGACACCATGCTGAGCATCATCTCATATCATCTTCCCATCAAACATGGAAGTCAGTTATTTTACTATTTCTGCTGTGTAGTCAAGGAGCTCAAAACATCAAAAGGAAAATCAGTTGCTTAGGCTCATAGGGCCATGCATCTGTCTGACTTCAGAGGCAACCCATAACTGAACCAATTCTCTGGAGAGCCTGGCAATGGCATAGGAATCTTGTGGCAAAAGTTTCAGGTCTCACACCTCTCAGACTTGGGGTTGTCCAGCTAGCTATAGGAGCTGCCGACCATTTTTCACACATCTGAGTCCATCATGGACAACCAGACATAGTGGATGGTGTCAGCTCTGTCATTGGAGGAAACTCTATGGTTGTTTTTACTCCACCTCCCCTTTTTTCTTGGACCTGACACTTATTTGCCAGTGAGTCTGGCTCTCTTGGATGGACACAGTGTATCATTCCCAGTAACTCTTTTGTCATGTCTGTTGGCAGCCCTTAGAATTGCGTATTTCACAGTCTGAATAGGTGTGCCAAAGTCCAACGTTTAAAAAGAATGAAAAACCCATCTCTCTGAGGTTTTTACTCATTCACTCAATTAGTCACAATGTGAATATGACGAGTTTGGCCTCTCTCATGGAGTATATTGTTGGGAAAGAGGTTGGCACTTTCTCACTGTGGGCTGAATCTGGCCCTGCTGCCTGATTTTGTAAATAAAGCTTTATTGGTACACAGCCACGCTAGTCCATTTTCAGATTGCTTTTGGCTGCTCTGTTCCACAATAGCAGCGTTGAGCAATTGCGGCAGAAACCTGATGACCTGCAACGTCTGAAATATTTACTATCTGTCCTTTACAGAGAAAGTTTGTCAAACCCTGTCCTAGAATGACTTTGATTTTTCAAGCCTGGAAATTTTTCTTTTGGCTAGAACATGTATTCATCCCCAAAGTGGTCACCCATGAGGGTTCTTCATTAGCAAGTCACTTTCTATGAAGAAAAAGGGTCATCGCCAGAGGATTAAGTAATTTGAGAATAAAACACAAAATTCTAATAATAAAGTAGCTCTCCACACTTACTGAGTGTTTGTTGCTTGCCAGGTAGCGGTCTGACCTCTGCATTTATTTACTCAATTTGTTCTAACAATAACCCAATGCGGGAGTCCTGTTATGAGCCCCATTTTATAGATGAAAACAGGTTAAGGTACAGGCCAAAGTCCAGGGCCAGAAAGAACAGTCCTGGAATTTAAACACTGGCAGCCTGGCATGCACTCTGAACTACTCCAAAGTAGAAGAGGCAGCAGGATGTGGGGTCCTGGCCCAGTGCGTTGGAGAAGAGAAAAGGACAATCCACTTGGGAAGTGGCCGACAGTGCTGGCCTGGAGACTGCTGGGCCTATTTTTAACCCAAAGAAAATCCTTATCCAAGAGAGAATGAATCACATACTCAGAGACACTCTCTGATTAGAGGGGGATAGAATTGCTGCACCACGCTCTGAGCTTCACTGTAATTAAAGTGCTTCTCAGATGTGGATGTGTCTAATGCCTCTGCTAATGCTGATCCATGGAGGATGCTTTGAAACTCAGTGAAAAAAATAGCAGCATTGATTCATTTTGTCAGAAAGAGGAAATAGCAAGAAGCAAGGAGCCCCTCTGGAGTTTATTCCTGTATTGCATTCTTGGGGATTCCCAAGACCCTCCCTGGGCTGCCTTTTCTTCTGATACCCCTGAATTTCTTCTCCCCACATCCAGAAGATTCTTGCACCTGCCTCAACAAATCTGAGAGCCTCTCCTGGGGTTCTTGATACATGATGTTCATTGTGACAGGGTGGTCGCCAGGAAAGGGGGAGGTTCCAGGTTTCCTGCCCCACCAAAGGGAGGGTGGAGCTGAGCAGGGAGAGAAGAAGCTGCAGAGGAGACTGAGGAAGGAAGGAGCAGGATGGAGCCAGAAGGAGACCAGGGAGAGGCACATGGAGCCGAGAGACACGTGAAGAAACTGCGCTTGCATTTTGGTCCTGGACTGGTTGAAACAGGCATGGGTGAGAGACCCGTGGAGAGGATAACAATGGCAGCTTTTATCCTGATTTTGATCCTTCTATCCCAGATGTACTGGGCTCCTTCTGCCCCTTTCCTGTGGATCCCCACCAGGAGGTGCAGGCTTTTGGACTTGGGGCAGGCTTTTGGGCCTCAGTGGCCCCGCTTTGGGCCAAGCCTATTTGGCTGGGCATTTACCCACAAGGGGATGGGCAATTTGGGGTGCTTGATTTGGAAACTATTTTCTTTCCCTTCTCTTTATTGCGACTAATTGTATTAAAGTTCCTTTCCATCGAAGGTCTCACATACTACAGTATGTGTTATCTTGATGTGGCAGATAGCAGAGCTGATTGATAGCAGGCAGGTCTGGGAGTTCTGGGGTGCCCCTCTCCTTGGTGTGTAACATCAGGATCACAAAAATCATCTCAGGTAACTGCCATGTCTGAGAAGAGGAGGATAGGAAGCTTTCATCACAGAGAGTAGATGTCTCCATGATCACCTTGAAGCATAATTCCCAGGTTATCCAAGCTTTATGGACCTGACTTCGGTGATGAGTATGGAAAGTTTTGCTTATGCTGTGGCTGTCCATAAAGAATCATCAGTCTTATTCACATCTATGCAGAACTTGTAGAAATATAGGTTCCTAAAAGAACACAGAGCTCTTTTCTCTGTCTCCCAGGTGGAGAGGTGATTGGAAAATGGAATGTAGCTTTGACTAACATGGGGAATCAGAACTACCTTTCTGAGGGCCTTCTCCTGACATTGCTCTTCTAAACATGGGTATTTGTACCCACTACCCCTTGTTCCCAAAGGCCCAGAACCATAGGAACACCCAATGGGACATTCACCAAATGAGTTTTCTAAGTTAGCCTTATTTCAGATATCAGCCTGAGTTTTAAATTCTGATATAAGCAAATGCATATAGTTTCTAAAGTATGCATGGGATTACAAAAAAAGTAAAAGGTACCTACTTTTAGGTCTGCCAAGCTATTCCCTCCCTAGAATTATGCACCACAGTTCCCATTGCTCTATAAAATCTTTGGGAGGCCTTGCATTTCATATGCAAACAGCACGGCATTCCTAGAACATTTAAATAGCCTGTCTCTATAGAATTAGCTAGACAGCCAACATCGGAGAAGTTAGGAGATAATTATGTCCTCCATGAAATGAAGTTCTGTTCTAAGGAGGGAATGTGGCCAAGATACCAGGTAGATGTGTCTTTTCCTCTGCATCTTGGCTATCTCATGCCAAGACACATTCCAAGCCGGCCTTTTGCTCATTTTTTTTTTTCCTCCATGAAATTCCTTTATTCTCTTAGAGCCTACTAGTTACAATCGTGGTAAAAATATAGATTTCATTTATCCCTAAGATTTTATTTGGGACATCCTGTGGGGATCTTGCATAACCTCTTTCAAAAGAAGTTTGCAAAACATAATGATCCTGTCATCTGCTTTTCTTTTTTTTAGCTCAAAATAATCAAATTAGCAGGTAGGAAAGATTCAAGCTTTCTAGTTTAAATTTGAGCCCAAATGATTCAAAGTTAATATATTTTTGAAAGGGTTATCTAATTAAATCTCAAATGGCTCTGGCTAATGCTTAGTCTTATTTCTGATCCCAGCTACCCTGTCAGTCTTTGAGAATTAAGGAACTCGTTAATAAGAAATAAGGGGAAAAAGAGAATGAAAAGATGGATTAAATTCACATCTTTTGTGTGGTATCTTTAATACAACAGGCATTATGTTTCAGTCCTCGAATAAAAGACATTATTTAGAAGAGATAGGGAGCACCCTCAATGACATCTGATACCACAGCCAATGATCTCAGGGTTGCCATGCACAGTTGCTCACACTGAGCACTGCACAACTCCAGGGGCACCATTCTATTCATTTCCTGTCTGGCATTGAACCCTGCTCCCTGCCAGCCTTCCCAACTATGACGTATAATCAACCCTCAAAGTGAGGCCTTACTAGAGATCTGGTTATCATTCCAGCCTGGCACAGTCAGCTTCCTGAGGGGCCATCCACTGCTAGGTTGGACCCATTCTGAAGACAAAAACTTGGACACTCACGCTGCTCTGGCAATGTCGAGTGACTTATCAGTGCAGTCCTGGCCCCCCGCCAGGACTCTGCCCCTTGGAGCACCAAGGATTCTATTGTTTAGGGTTTTATTTCCACTTATGTCCCCAACACACAGACCCCAACCTTTCCTGTCTGCTAGTCCCACGTTTATCTGGAAACAGCTTCCAGAATTCTCCCCTATTTAGGAAGGAAGAGAGAGGATAAGAAGAAGAAAGGAATAATAAAGTGATCTCCAAAGAGACTGAGACCTCTCCCACTCCGGTTCATCTTGTTAAATACTGGCCTGGCTGCTAACATGGTTGTCCACATGCAACCTGCAGACAGCTACTGTCTTTAATTTGGACTTAATGTGCTTTGAAGTAGCCCTTTCATTAAAATCCATTTACATCTTCCTCTGAGCAGATCTTAAGAAAGCTTGGTTCAGTCAGCAACAGAGAGATACCAAGTACTGCTTGTCCCATATATTTCATTCTGCTAAAAATATTC